CATCCCTGGAAACATTCAAGGTCAGGTTGGACGGGGCTCTGAGCAACCTGATCGAGTTGAAGATGTCCCTGCCCACGGCAGGGGGGTTGGGCTAGATGACCTTTAGAAGAGGTCCCTTCCAACCCAAACTATTCTATGATTCTATAATCTTTAAGAAAGTTTCCAAGAACTCAGAAACATAGTGAAACATGGTGCTTTTAGTAGAGACAGAAAACCATTACAAGGAATTTAGTGGTTTGAATACTTGTTTATTTACTACACGCAAGAAAGTTACCACTGCAGTTTCAAAAGTGGAAAACATGGTAACTTTACTTTTGTTAATGGAGAAATAACAGATAACAAAGTAACACAACCACCCATTTTATTCCAGTTATTTTACTTACACAATCCTTACACATTTCCTCCAAGAATTAATTTAAAGGTTTTAAAAATATTACTAGCCATCAAAAATGTTATTAAAAAATATCTCAACTTTTTGCATGAAAAAATGTTTGTTTCAATTTTCTGGTGAAAGATTAACGTGACTTTAGCTATTCCAGTTCTTAGCTGAAATGCTGGTTATGTTCAGAGGAAGAAAGGCATCCTACCAGTATTCTCATTTGCCATAAACGTGTAGATGAACATGTTTTTTGTTTTGGCAGAAAAATCTTACTCTGCACAGGTATGAAAGCTTTCATACACAATGTTATCCTCCTCAATGAACATAGTATTTGCTGACAAGGTCATTTGCTGACATGAGATTTATCATGTATGTTGTACTACAAATCTTTCAAAAGAAAAAATACAGTCAACTTGCTTTTCCACAGCCTGTGTTTTACTGGGTTTAAACATGAATAGGAGTATTTTACTTTAGATATCATGCTTCTAGTTTTACAGTTCATATAAAAAGGAGTTCTGCACAGCCTTACTCCAGCTAATCATAGCTAAGTTCCTGGTTCACAGTGCTGAAGTAATAAAGAGCTAGTCAGTGTACACCTGTCAATCATCATCCAGATGAATTAAAAAGAAGCGCTTCTAGAATACAGGTCCTATACAAAGTATATCTTAAGGCTTTTGCAGTACATTATAGCTAAGAAGTACTCATTTAGGAGCATTAAAGCTGTGATAAAGTATCTGTCCATGCATCAGCAACTTTAATCTTAAGAAATACTTGACAGTTCAAGTTTTTTGATTATTTGCATACATGTATGCTGGCTGCTCAACACTAATAACATCTTTTGCTGGTGTCGTGGTTTAACCCCAGCCGGCAACTAATCCCCACCCAGCCGCACGCTCACTCCCCCCCGGTGGGGTGGGGGAGAGAATCGGAAGGGTAAAAGTGAGAAAAACTCATG